ATCATCATCAACATCGTCAGTATCATTGTGTTGTCATTTCATCTTATTCATCCTTATCCCTATCACCATCATCTTCATCATGTTTGTCATCATCATCTTCATCATCTATGATGATCATCTATTTTCTTTGCATCACTTATACAGATCATATGTTTAAATCGATATCTTCATCATTATTGCAACATCTTCATAACACCTGCTATGTAACTGAGTACTGGGAAATAGTAACTATCAGAAACAGAATCAGTGAAACAATAGAAGTCCTCATGGTTTACATGACGATTGTTTCAGGCCTATTAACACTTTACCATTGCTCCCCTGAAAAACAAACGTCCATTATAGTCTGGGAGTTATTATAAAAAGAATTGAGCTGAGTAAATTATTAGAGCTGACTAATAAAATGCAGTTATTAGTGGGTAAGAGGGCTGAAGAATGTGTTGAGGTAAGTGTCTGTCACGCAGCCAGTCAGTGTGTTAGTCACCAGTTTTCAACAGCGAGTGTGGAGCCAAGTGGGGCTTTCAAGAACCAGGGCCAAGTGGAGATGTTTAGGACACAGGGTCGAGAGCGTTATTTGTTTATATGAAACTGCAGCTCAGAAGAGGAGTCATCTCTGCTGGCAGCAACGAGCAGAGAGAATCACCTAGCTTTTGATTGGGGGGGGAGACAGAGTTGTATAAATATTTAGTAAGAACTGGCAGGGCTGTTGTTGGCCCTGTGGAGAAAACCAGGCTTTTCACTCCATCTGCATATGAAATATATACCAGACTATACATATAGACCTCATTCCTGACCTTTATGGATCGTTAACTCTCAATTCTACAACATCTACAACACCTGGAAATAAAAGATTATTGCCTCAGCCAAGAAGTTATGTTTTGTTGGTTGGTTGGTTTGTTTGTTTGTAAGTAAGATTACACAAAAACTACAGGACAGATTACCACTAAACTTGGTGGAAGGATGCGGTTTGAGTCAGAAAAGAACTCATTAAATCCAGGATATTGTTTCACTTGATGTTGAGGGCATTTAGCAACAATCAACAACGACATAGCGTTATGATATTCAAGACACCTGACTTCATTGCTTGATTTATTTGACTGTCAGTTCAAAACCCAAAGGTATTTACTTTATTCACATCATGTGTGACAAAGAAAGACATGAATCAGTGAATATAAAGCACTTTTACATTAAATTACAAAATGACTGAAACATTTAATCCAAATCCAAAATCTGGGCTTTTGACAAAAGAATCAGAATCACAGCTGAGTTTGTAAATTCAAATGAATTTGATGCATGTGTGTTGAGGATGGTTAAACAGATGCCAGAACAAAGGCAGACAAGACAGAAATGATCCTGAGCTTTAGATGGTGAGCTGTAGAGGCTTTTCACGATGTATTATGACGTGTAAATTGTTAAATGTGTCTGTTTAAGACCAAAACCATAATTTGAAGTGAAGGGATGTTGTATTTCTCCACTAGACGTGCATCCCTGGCAGATTTCCATTTGTCCAATTGCCTTTTATTTAATGGTTACAGAGTAGATAGAGTTTCATGAATCATCCTAATAAGGGAAGCGACACTGCTTCATGCAGCCCTCTGATGATGTAATCTTATAAACTGGTCTGTTTGAGATGTGACTCCTGGACCTTTACCACATAAACACAACTAAACCCAGCAGAAATTAAAGTGTCTCTATGAACTACCAAACAGAAAAGCTGTTTCTAATTTTCAAACCTAATCTTTGTGTATTTAACATGTCACTGGTCTAATCCAAACAGTCTCATCATTTGAATCCCACAGTATTTGACTGATTCTGTCAGGATCCCAACATGTTGTTATCATTCATGTCCAAGATTACTGATGTGGTCACAGATTATTCCCTTACAGCTGAAACTGCTCACCGCTCGTCTGTCACTCGTCTGATTTCTGTCTCCTCCACAGTCTTCAGCAGCTTTGTTTCTCTTTGCTCTCTGTAAATCTTCACGCTGGTAGAGGTATTTAAAACTTCTACTTCAGAAATACCAGAAAATTCTGCCATGATGAGTAAAGATGTTTTACTTAAGTAAAATTTTTATTTGGAGCATTTGGGTAGTGAGGAGCGGAGTGGGGGTAATGTAGCAGAAAATAAAAATATTCAATGTACTACTGTATGTACAACTACCTCAAAATGATGAAGTACTTTGATACACTTTTAACTTCTGCTGATCACAGTGTGATGGAGGGAACACTGAAACAGTAGCTGGAGCAACAGCGCCACTGTGTGGAATATAAATGCAAGTGCAGTATTGATTATAAAAAAGGACTATTCTGTATAAATTTGTGGCACTCTCTCAATATGCTCATACAGGCTCATGAAGACTTGTTGAAGTAAATGTGTGTTGATCAATGTTTTTGTGAAAAATGTCTCCTGGGGAAAATCACATGTTAAAGCTGAGACCATGAATAGATTAAAGTTACAACTAGAATGGAACTCAGGACAGCAAACACCTCTGCAAGGCCAAACTGTCCTACACATGATTGTTTGTTTCCTATGATAAAAATGGAAAAGTCAAGTCCATTTGTATACATATGAAACAATAATAAATGGAGTGGAAAATTGTATGATTCATTAAATATAATCATCACCATCATGTTGTATAATTATTATTATGATACATCATTTTTATTTCTTATTATTTTTAATATCTATCTCTGATGGATTTGATTGATTCATCATCATTATAAACAATTGATTAAAGAAATAAAAGACTAGAAACTTGAAACTTGAAAAGTGTCATTCAGGAAAAGTTTTTAATAAACATTTAGAGATCAATTAACAAACAGACAGGAGAACAGACAGGAGAACAGACAGGAGAGCAGACAGGAGAACAGACAAAATAATAGACAGGAGAACAGACAGG